TCTGTTACTACTGTATAAGTGGGCACTATTTCCTTCAACTGTCTCTGCTCTTTGTATTTTCTCTAGGCAGCTAGCACCAGGCATAGCAATGGGGATGACTTTATTATGCAGAGTGCAATCTGGGCAGTAAGTAGCACTGTCTGTAGGTCTGTGCTCTGTCCCCTCTGTGCGCCTTGTACCTGTGCATACAGAAAGAGTTCCTAGCATTTGATCCTTCTGTTTTTGTTCTCCAAATGTCCTGGTTTTGTGATTTTTGGTTATCGATATTCCGCATCATAACATCGTGTAGTGCACTGGGAATTAAAGTGTTAATACCTGATAGAACTGACTTTATCTTTACATCTGCTTAGTAATAAATATTAACACTGTTTTGTTTCCTTCTACTAGACCTGCAAAGTTAAAAAACAAAAGGTATCTAGACTAACTAAATTCCACCTGTCTAAGGCAAGCCTACATGTCACTGAATTTTTATTACTGATGACTGTGTTAACCAGAATGGACCAGGGTTGATACTTTCAGTGTCTAAACTTGATTTTTTTGATGTGAAATTAAGAAATACCTTCAAGTCATGCTTTATAATAATAGGCAGAATTAAAGCTTTTTTACGTGCTTATTTTTGAGTAAAATCGCACTTTAGGACACTGGGATTTATTTTGCCATCAGGCTTGCTTCAAAAACTCAGATTGTGTTAAACTGAGGATACAAGGCATATTACAGAGGAAGGTAAGAAATCTTCATGATTCTGGTCAGTCAGTAGTGCTTTTTTTTTCATTTCAAATTTGGGAATAAGCCTGACTCTACCTTCTAGAGGCTAATGAAGTAGCTGCTCCAGAAGCTGATGTGTGCTATGTTGAAGAGTTTTACACTTAAAGAAGGCACAAGGAACTTCTGCTTATAATCAATTTCTAGCTACTGCTTGAGTGAAGAAAACATCATCGTGATATAAGTGACTAATTCTATATGGAAAAGGAGTGGAAAAAAAATACTTTCCTCCTGTTTCATGAGGCAATTGGCTAAGTTCCTGAGGAACTTGCACAGCACATAGATCATCTGTTAACACCAATCTAATGTGGTCTTGAGATCCGGAGGGCTATGCAGATGATTGCTTCTGAAATGAGATTGGGCTTTCTCTTGCTAATGAGAGTACCCAGCAGATACCCAGGTCTACGCGCCAGAGACTGGCTTCATTTAAAAAACAAATGAAGTGTAGCTGACTCGTGCTAGCTTTTCTGCTGGAGAGCTATAGTGTTAGACATTGCTTTAGGAAGATACTCTGAAATGACAATTCTGATTTGAAGAAACATTTGCTTCATGCTCTTATGCTATGGAACTTATTAAAAATTAAAGTTATTATCAAAATTTCTTGCAGGCTAAATAAGAACTTAATGGCATTGAATACAAGAATTCTGAGATGTCATTTTTCCTATCGCTATGCCAAAGCTATTTAAGTCACACCTAAAACTAACAATTTGAAACAATCTGTCTTTCTTTAGCTTTCTTTTAAGAAAGATAGAGCCCTATTCTTAAAGCTATTTATGTGTTGCTAGTTTTAATAACTTAAAAAAAGTCTGACTTTGCACAAATGCTCTTCTCAGTGTACATGGTTATAACTTGTACCTCCTTTTGAATCAGCATGTAAGACAATTTTATGCAGAATTCCTCTAGCTATGATTTTCCACTTATATATACATTTTTTTGACAGAAGGAATGAAGAGCAGACAGATGCTCAGATTAACTGCTATGCAGCTAGGAAGACTTTGCCAAGACTAGTGGCTTATGACAAACTAAAACCCTTTACAAACTGATTTACAATTAGTTTGATACACAGTCAGCTACGTTTGATTGGATTTCTGAGTGAGAAATTCTGAATGAATCGGAGAACATCTTTTTTTTAATCTCTTTTTAAATGTGCCTAATGTTCTGTCAGCCATGCAGACAACGGAAAACATTTGTCAAAACAGATGGCAATGCAAGCCCCTCCACTGCTGAACACGAATGGTGAGTTCAAGGACCAGTTAATGGCAGGAGAGCCAAGAAATATTTTGAGATTTAGTTGAACATTGAATATACCCCAAAAAATACACTATTGCAATTCCAGGACTTCTTGGCCATAGCACACTCACAATGCTGCAGGAACAGTTATTTCATATTCTGATTTTCCAGCCAAAATGAAGAATTGCTGAGGTGCACGAAAAATAAGATGTAGCATTTAACATGTTTTTGAAAAGACATGTTGAACAGCTGGTTCAGTCCAATAAACTATACTTTACCTAGCAGTTCATGGTATTCCGCAGTGCCATTCAGTTTCTTTTCATACACTAAGGTAAATATTATCATAAAAAGAAATTATGCAAATAGACTATGCTAAGACTAAATGTGAAAATATCTGGATTTTCTATTTAAAAATGCTGGCATGTTACACCATAGTAGTTTTAGCAGAGCAGTTAAGTATCCTGTTAAGCAGCTTAAATTACATTTTTTAAATTAATTTAAAGAACTGTAGAGAGATGTTCATCATAGAATAATAGAATCATTTGAGTTGGAAGGGGAATCCTTAAAGGCCATCTAGCCCAACACCTCTGCAATGAACAGGGTTACTTGCAACTAGATCAGGTGCTCAGAGCCTCTCCAGGCATGCACCACCTCTCTGGGCAACCTGTGCCAATGCCTCATGTGCTCTCTACCCTGTGTAACTTTCTTATGAGCATGGAACAATGATAGGTAGTTAATTTCTATGACTATGGTTTCAAATCGAACCTAGAATATATATTTTTCTCTTTATAAATATATGAGATTCTTCTTTCAAAAAAACTGTTCACTGATACTTGTCCATATATTTTGACAATCTTTAGACTATGCATTTATTAAATTAGTACTGTTTTAAGATGAGTTCATTATAGTCTTTTATTTTTTTCTAAAAATGCATTGGACTTCTTTCTGTCAGAAGAACATTCAAGTGCTGCCGCCATCCAAAATAACCTTAAAGCATGTGCAAGTCTGTTGATGAAAGCTGTTAGATGCATCTGGGTTAATGAAGTTTTTGTAATTTATACCATTCTAGGACCATTTTCAAAATGTTTGCTCTGACTGGACTTTGGAATTACCCCATCTAGATTAAAGAAGTCCATGCTTGCCTGGACATTATCTTTGCTTCATGGGAATTCTAGCAAGCCAGTGTTCCAGAGGATGCTGGTGGAAAAAGATTACTAAAGTTGTGCGTTTTCTGGCATGATTGTTCTTATGCCTGCAGGGTGCTGAGGAAGAGAAAAGAGGAGGAACAGGGAGAACCCATTTAAAACCACTTCTGTGCCTGCAAGAGATTTATTTCTTCCCAATCAAAATGTTACATTAGATACAAGATGCTCTAAACTGCAGCTTCTCTGTACTGGCAACTGTTACCAGCAGACCAGACCACAATTTCTCCACCTTGGAGAACAGATCAGGGTTCAAATGGTGATATCACTAGAAGAATTGTGGGCATACTTCCATATGTCTCACTCAAAAACTTGGTGATTTCTTGCAAGGAGGAAGATGGAAGATGTGACGAAAATAGCTGTTAACTTTTGCCTTAAGCACTAAAGATCAGTGCAAATGCCCTATGCAGACATTAATGTCCTTCTGTTAGCAGTAGTATTCAACTTCTAAGAAACTGCGTGGAACGTGGAAACATTCCAGGTAACTGTGGCAGATGCACAGTGACACAATGAGGTTTGTAAAGATGTGGGAGGTAATTATTAAAACTGAGGACCTTGAGGGTTCTTTTGTCAGATAACAGCTTGCTGTTGAGGCTGTCTCAGGAGGATCACCTGCTTACAGGAAGCACACTTCTACTTTTTTTTTTGTTTGTTTTGCTACAGCACTTGAGTTTTATCAAACCTTTTTTTGGTCTTTCATCTTTTACTCTCACAATGTGGTTTGCTCACCAGTCATTCCTTGATCTGGGAGCATCTGGGAGCTGTATAACGCAGTGAAAATGGATGCACAAGATTGGAAAACCATGCCTTTACATATATTCATTAAAAAAATAAGAAAAGAAACTCCAAGTGAATTGTTTTCAGAAATCTGGTTAATAACAAGGCATTTCTTACCTTTGTGAATGTGTTTAGTACTGTCTAAACCAAAAGAAATGTTACTGACCAATAATTCCCCTATAAACATAGAATTTCACAATGATGCTTCGTTTCATGGTATTCCGTGGCTAATGAGCTTTATAAGCTTGTATCACTTTTGCTAAAACAACTGGAATGTAACCACCTGCATATTTATCCTACTAGTCAAATTTCCCTTCATTTGACAGACCTCTAACTATGACTTCATGTACTCTGTGAGAAAGAACAAAGATAGCCTGTGGTCTCTTATTATGCAGCACGAACAGATTATATCATGTAAGGTCTGATCAAATGTCTCAGTAAATTCAGCTGCATGCAGTAAGCACTACTGTTATTAGGCCATCTTAAAGTAAGAGTGGAATTCCCAGCTCTTCTCTAAAAAGCACCACTATGTTACTCCTAGTAACTCTTTTTTATGCAGAATATGGCTTTGTTTTTGCTTGGGATTTCAAAAGGTACCATGCTATTTTTAGTTACTAAATAATATGATTTAGTAACTGTTCTCAATAGATTGTGTTGGCATCTTGCAAGCATTCTATTTTCTCTTAAAATAAAATCAGTTCTATGAAAGCTGCGTTATTCTTATGAAAGCATTTATATATATATTTCTTTTGCATGTTAATCCTTAGCATTATTTTGCTAAGAACACACTTAATGTGCCAAAAAATCTCCTGAACCCCAATTACAAACCTTTCTGCAGCCAAAATTTCTCATGTAAATGCCACATCACATTAGGTAGGTAGCAGGTTCTTGAAGTAGATTATCTGTAACCAACTTCTCAGTTTTCTGAGCCTTATGACTGCTGTGCATTCAAAGCATTGTTCATTTATTGTTTTTGTCATCTAGTTAGATTGTATAATTTTTATCCAGCCAGTTTACTTTCAGCCTTACCTTGGTATTCACAACCTCATCTTGCTGAGAAGTCTTACCCAGGCTTCTTATCCTGGAAACTTGGGGCTTTTTATTTGTTTTATTAACTTCCATGCCTTGCAAGCAGTCCAGTTTTTGTTCAGTCGTGTTCAGTAGGCTGGCGCACGTCTCTGCACTGCTTGGGTTTTCTTTAATCAACATATGGGCTATAATATATTGGTTGTTTTCAGTCTGATGTCATGGGAAAAAGTGTTGCTTGAGTCAGTATGGAAACGTGCCCAGATACGCTCAAGTTGTTTCTTCCTTGACTGTAGTATCATCTGCTTGGAACTTTTCACTTGCCTTCTAATGGTTATTCCTGCTTGTCCACAGGCTGTTTCCAGTCCAAATATAGTGCTACTTGATTGAAAAAATCCAAGGAGCAGTTTTCTTTTTGGCATGCATTTAGCTGTCCCAACTTATTACTTTCTGGAACTTCATGGTTCAGTTTGTCATAGAATGTCAGGGCTCACTAAGGCTGTCCCTCTGGACCTTGCAGAGTAACTTCTGTGTCTGCAAGGCAAGAAGAACTCTGCAGAAGTTTGGAATGTTTTTCAAACTCTTTTCTCCCCGTGAACTCATTGTGAGGAAGCACTGACCTAAGGTACCCTCACAGAGCTCCTATTGACCTGTAGTCTGGATTGTGCAATACATTCAGGGCTGTGCCTTACGTTGGAGTGTTTTTCTTGCACTAAAGGATTTTTTCTTACAATATTTGGGAATTAGTTTAAGAGCACAGCCTAATTTTATTAGCTTGGCTGCTTAGCTAAAGAATATTAGTGAGGATAAACTAATGTAAGTCCACTAATAAATAGCAGAGTGGAGTTACAACAACAAAAGAAATAGTCCTTAGATTCTAGAGAAATCACTACAGGGTAAGAACATATCAGTAGTATCTTGAAAGGATGTAATATTTTCCTAAACTGTATAGGTAATGTGTGGAAATTTAACAGGAAAGGAAAATATAACTGGAAGTTTAATGTTGTTATTATTGATGGCATAGTTGTCAGAAAACCGTGGAAATCTCTTCAGGATAAAGCTGTCCTAAGCTCTAGCTTTAGATATGTAGTACCTCCTCAGGAAAAGAGGCTCAGCAGGCCTCAGAGTTTGCATGTTCCTGTTAAAGTAGTCAACGAACTGAGTGCAAAATGTAACAGCTTCTGTTCCGTAAATACTAGCTGGGATATTTCTGTAACTTAACCCAGCTGCATAAGAATGGGTTTTCCTGAGAACAAAAAAGGCACCATTCTAACTTGAAGGTTGTCTTGCTGCCAGATTTCAAGCCTCTGTTACAAATCATTATGGCTCTTCAGAAAACATATGAAAAATATGGATGTTGGCAAAAATTTCCTTCGCTAAGTTTGTTCCAAAAATGGCTGAACTATTTTCTATCAAGCTTTCAAATAAATAAGGAAAAGTCCAGAGTTTAAGTAACAGAAATTTCAACCTTACTGGTTGAAATTTGGCATATTTGAAAAGCTAAGTGTTTAGCAAAAATAATTAGGCAGAGTGAACTGTTGATTTCATAATATGCTCATCCTATAATAACAGCACTAAGACTAAAAGGAAAGGGTCAGGATATGCCCATCCTACTTCTTTGTAATACAGTTTATCTTAGTAGACAGACATGGTCCCATAACAGAACTGAATGCTATAGGTCTTTAAGTGTGGTCCAGTTGCACAAGTGCCGCCTATTTGTTAGCTACCTGGATGTTTTCAGAGGATGGTGGGAGAAAACGTTTGTAGGTTATCTTTTAAGGATGTAGAAGAAAAGTGCTCAGAAATGTAATACAGCTTCCTAAGCTTTTCATTTTGCTTAACCTTTCCCAGGACACTTCCCAGCTTGTAGCCAATTTGTCTTGTATTTGTTAAACCTTTCAAAATTTTCTTCATGTGTTTAACTGAACAAAAAGAAACATTCTCTGCAGGAAGTGGTTCTGTTTTGCAAGGGCTGCAACATATTTTCTGGCATCTTTTCTGGCATTTTAAATTGTGCTGAAAGCCTTAGTTTAGTGTAAAATGACTTCACTCATGCTATCCAAAGGGACACCAGTAAAAATTTTTTAAAACACAGTATCAAGTGAGGTCTACTCTGATGTCATCTGACTAACCACTGTTTTTGTTTGCATTGGGACCTTCATATAAAATGGATGGCTGAGGAACAACATGTGGGGAAATCTTTGGTTTCTTGTAGCTCGTTATGGAAGGACTGCTGAAGACTGCAAAACACAAAGTGAAAAGAGGGGTGAAGACATCTGGGCCTTCCTAACATGGTGTTTAGATAGACGGAGTAGTGTGTAATTTCTCCAAGGAACTGAAAACATGCTCATAATAGTGTGGAAATAATATGTATCTTTTACTACCTAAAACTCAGTGGATTTTAACTGACAGGGAAAAAAGTTGTAAAAAATAATTTTTCTATATATAAATACATGTAGACCTAGAAGTTACACTTCCCTGGATAGCCTTCAACCACAGTGAAGATGATGACAAAACTTAATTCATCTACAAATAGATTCAGGGTAAGCACATCTTGATTGCATTCATCTTCTTAATCAGAAGTCCAGCTTGTGCTTTCTGTAAGCTTGTATCACCTGTTACGTTTCCTGACAACCTATAAAAATGAACACTAAATGCTCCTGCTTACCTCATCTCATCACTATATATACATATGTATTTTCTGTCTGGCCCCCATCTAGAAGTAAAAGCATCTGACCTTTAGGAGAGGTACATGCAGTTACAAGGGAGCATATAGTCTGATATTCAAACTGAGATATTTCTTCTTAGTTACTAGTTTGTATGACCAGTGTTTATAAAACACTGAAGGAGATATCCAGGATATTTTTGCTATTTATATTTCCCATTGTTGCAATTCTCTAGGGATGATTAAATTGGTTGACTTCAAGGGTGTGATAGCTACTGATACAAATAACTTTCCCGAAGATTTCCTTATGACTTCAGAATGGTTCAGTCGGTAACAAAAACATTTCTAAAGGGGTTTAGTTTGCGAGCTGTTTTCTGAAATTCTTGCCAGGCACTGATTTGCATACAGAATAACTAAAACTGTTTAAAGCTAATCTCTGAGTGCCCAGGCTTCTCTAAGAAATCTAACTATTAAACTCCCCTTTTCAGGGAGTTTTCCCTTTACTTTCCCTTTTACCTTTTCCCTTTTTATTTGAAGCATCACTAAAGTTCTGCTGTTGGGAAAATTGTGGACAACCAGCCTTTCCGGTGAGACTTCCAGTCTTTCCTGATTACAGCCAGGAATGCAATAGAGGAAGAAATGTCTCTTGCTCTATTTTGATACTTATGCTCCTGATCCCCAAAGAGAAGGGAAGCAAAATGAATTAATACGAGGTTGTAAATGTTCTTTACATAGGCTTTTTCATTCTATGTTTTAGCTGCAATTTAAATTAGTGTTTTTGGGGGATAAATGCTCTGGAATAGTTCACTTTTCTCTCACAGAATAAAAGATTTCAGGCAGTCCGGAGGTCTAAAGTCCCAAGTAACCAAAAAATGAATGTTTGATAATCTTTCCCTCTCTAAATCTAAATTTATACACTCAAAGATTCAGTGTTTATATGTATAAAGGTACACTTTGGACACCCATTCTAATTAACTGAAAGATGTTGGAGGTAATAAGAATCTGTCCTTATATATCTGTCCTTATAATTCAGGGTCTTTTAGCTAAAGAGACTTCCTTTAGTTATCAACAGAAAATACTGGAAGTTTCTGTTCTCATGTCCTCTTCAATTATGTAACTTTTCATGCAGACTTGAGTTAGAAGCAGCTAGGTGTGCAGACATTATAGCATCATATAATGATGCACTTGATTTATTAAAAGGATAGATCCCACTCTGACAGCAAAACATTCAGGGTGTTTGAGGAAACTGAAACTCTTCACCTTACCAGAATGAAGTCAGTGTTATTCCAGTGTGAAATACTTGCGTTACCATGGCGTACTGTTACATATACTGCTACATAGAAATGCAGACATTCCTCAGCTAAAAAGTGCTCTTATGTACCCTAAAACTTTCCCTGGAGGAGCAGCCCTGCTTTTCTTGGAGAAGAAAGTTTTAGAACTGTTTCAGAGCCATCTAAAATTGGAAAGTCCCAGAGAATGAGACAACTCGTTGGCCAAGGGGATGTGAATACATTTGAAATTTATTAAAACCTTGGAGACTTGCTGAAGTCACACAATGGTGATCAGTCATCAAGGCAGGCCAAGAACAAGCCTGGCAACTGGTACTCTGTGGTGCCATGGGAGCACAGTCCTTGCTGCTAGTAGTGCAATTGGTGTAACAAACTTCATCCTGCTCCAGAAAGCAGGTACTGAAATGAAGAATTTTTGAACTAAGACTTGGGGGTACTGTCACGAAGGAAAGCTCTCCAGCATACCTATGAAGAGAGGAAGGGAAAAACTTGGCTAATGTTCTCAGTTAAGTGTCACCTTTAAGCACACTTGACTGTGGCTCCTCCACTAGAAATAATGGATATAATCAAAATAGTTTGGGATTATCAGAAGGTAGCAAGGAGGAATTTTGTTGCTTCCTCTGATATATTTTTCAAAGAATCAGCAAGAAAATGAGTTAGGACACCATCAGGACAGATTCTTCTTTACTGCAGGCTGTGACACTGAGGAAACTGCCAGCTGGCAGTGGTGTCACTGCCTCCTTCTCTGTATTTCTGCTGCTCCCTGGTGTAAGAAGGAAGTCATGGTAGGAATCCACAATTGTTTAGATGCAGTAGGCATTCTGTTCACTCTACACTGTCTGTAATAGCTGCAGACAAAAACAACACATTTGCTTTTGTCCTAGTTTTTTGTAACAGATTTTAGTCATCTATGTGAAACTTTGGAGAGTTATCTGAGAGACTTTGTTGTGAAACCACTAATGTTACTTCTAGGGGGGGGAAGGGATGGGAAGGGTAGGGAGAATGCTTCCATTTCAAAGACCAAGACCAAAGTAAATCAACTTATGCTCTGCTTGATCTGGATTTACTCCTTCCAAAAATAAACACATCTACAATATTTGTGACTTGACATAGGTATAATTCCCTTTAGCAGTGAGATAATTGTTCAAATTATAGTTAGTTTTCAATACAAAAATCTAATCAAAAGCAAAATATATTGAAATACTCTTTTTTTTTTCTGCATGCAAATAACAAAATAATCAAACTTTTTCACTTTCATACTACTGTCTCTAGCTAAAAATTTCAACTTTCATGTCCTGACTTCTGACACACTCAAATCTGATAGAATAAGTTGATCATATTGAATCTAAACTTCAGAAGAATGTTGTTTTGTTCCTTGTTTTTAATCTGAGAGCTTTCTAATTAAGAAAAAAATTAGCAAGAAAGAAATCCTTTGTAGTGAATCTCGAGGGGGAAAAAGTACTTGAAAAAATGCTTAAATTGCAAATAGACACCTTTGCTAACAAAATCATGTTATTGCCAGACTTGCACTGCAGATGGCCAGTGCATTTAAAAGGC